TGATTTAAAATTGTAGCTCCATGAATAAGACTAGTTGACGTAAATAAGATCACCAGTGGTGATAAGCGAGAAAAAGTATACATTATGAATGAGCCTCGACTACGGGAATGCACGGCTCACATCCTAAATATAAAAAAATAAATCATTAAAAATTATAATAATAATAATAATAATGATGATGATGATGATGATGATGATGATAATGAGAAAGAAATAAAAATAGCACGACTTAAAATTAGAAAAAAAGAAATCTTTCTCCTTTGCTTGTCACTTTTTATAATATATCCAAAGAGGAAATATATTTTCATCCGAAACAACGACGACAACAACATCGTCAACGGTTAGAAAAAGGAAAAAAAAGAGGAAAACGAAGTAGATATAGAGAAAAGAAAATCTAGCCGGTGACAACGGTAGTAAGGGCAACAGATCGAGAATTCAATCGCTAAACATCATAAGCACTACTACTCCACTAACACTCAATTGATTCAATTAGAGAAGCGCACACACGCAAACATATATATATATATATGATTCTGATTAAAATACACATAGTACTTACCTCTTCTTCTTTTCCCTCTTTCTGATTTTCTGCTTCTCTCGTGCTATGCTTGTCTATTATTCATTCACTCACTTATTAATGTTCATCTGGGATTATCTTGATGCCTACGCGTTCTCTTCTCTTCTTACACTTGCTGTCGATTCAAACTCATATAGTATTGTCGATGAGGACACATTCAAACATAAGAGAAGAGACAAATAACTTTTGCCATCAATATAATACGATGAGAGAGAAAAGAGAGAATGAACACTCACACAAACTTATCGATAAAAAAAAATACAAAACTGATCGCATGCTGCTTATGTTTTCTAACTAATGTCATACAGAACAACAAAAACAAGAAAAGTGATGTGTTTGTACTAGTAGCAATAGTAGAAACAACACACAAGTTATCTACCATATTGCCTACGAATGCTAAATTATAAGTTGATGATGACGACAACAGAAACAACAACAACAACAACAACAAGGCAAAACAACGTCATCGATGATGATAATGATGATGGCAGTAGGCAGAAACAAAAAGCAGAAAGAAAGAGGGAAAGGATTTATATGTCTCCTATCTTGAATGTGTTTTCAAGGCACAGACCAGAGGCAAATAGAGGTATATACATAGTCGCGTTTTTTTTCCAAATGTCGGAATAATATCAATCGACAAGGGAAAAAAATTTCCTGCTGTTTCTACTACTGTCTTATGGTGGATTGTACACTAACATCTTATTTCCATAGCAAATAACGAGTATGATCTCTACGTCAGTCTAACATCAACGACAACAAACAAAATGCATAGCAATAGTAAAAGGAATGATCTTATCCATAGATATCGACAACGACGATGAGAATAAGATGCTAAAGAGAGAAAGAAATAAAGGGGATGCTCTCGTTTTAGAGAATAGACAGAGAGAGAGAGAGAGAGAGAGAGGGAACGATAGCGAAGAGCAAAAAGAAAATTGTCGCCTTCAATCAATATTTGCTGCTTTCACGCATGCTGTGTGTCTTTTGCTACTACTGATGATGATGATTTTCAAAATAATACTATGTAATGCAAAGAATTCTTGCTTTTGTCTTACTCTCTCTCTCTCTCTCTGCAGGGTGACAATAGTTTGGGATCGTCATTGTACGAACGATAGAACAATTTCCTTAGATATATGCTTGTGAAAGTAAAGGATGTTGAGGACACGCACGTCTTTCAACAATGAATAGATGAATTGCGACTTGACTTCGACATGTCGAAGGCAAAAGAGAAAAAAAAACCGATGAAATAGAGCTCAATTAACACATCCGCAGTCGAATAATTGTCAGTTATAGCTAGCTGTTTCTGAAAATTCTGGCATAGAATTTGGTATTTGTATAGTAATAAATAATGATGATGATCATCATCAATGAAGAAAACGAAAAAAAAAAGAAAGAAATATATATAGAGATAGATAGATAGATAGATGGATAGATATACTAATCGAGAGAGATTTCAAGAATATTTAAGATTTCTCACACATAGATTGTAATAGTTCAAACCGTTGATGATCGATCCATCATTTATTTGGAAGACAGGTTCTTGTTTGATTCATATATTAGTCCTTGTCGAAAAATTTGTCTTCTCGGCTCATTACTTGTTAACGTCTATATACAGATAGAAATCAAATCCACTGTTACGATGTGTCTCTCTCTCTCTCTCTCTCTTACATTGTATATGTATATACGCACGAAGGTTGTTTGTAGTGTGCCTCTAGTAATATTATTGTCATTCTTTTTCTTGTACTCTTTCTCTCATTGCATGTTGGTTTTCTTCTGCTTCGTCTTTTTCTTGTTCGTCTCTCTTACTAGTAAGAAGTAATAAGCAACAACATCGTCAAGACCTCCTTCTGTGTTATTGCTTACGATCAATCGATTGTAATGCTCGACTAATTTTCTGAGATGGGCAAACAAATAGAGAAATCGACATTTGATAATCAACAAATATATCTAAAGACATTAAATGAATGACATAACAATAGAAATAAGATGAGAAAAATGGAATAGAACATTTATATTGATTACTGTAATCTGTTTAGGCAATTGATTCGTGATAAGTTCACGTTGGTTTCTCATTTCAAGAAAATGCCATTGAAAAAAGAAATTAATTAACAGATAGATAACAACATTTTCTATTGCCGTTTAAAAATTATCAATCTTAAAGAAAAGATCATAGAATATTTGTTACTTTAATCAATTTTCTTTTTCTCAAGAGATGTCCAAAAAAAAAAAGAAAGAATACTTATTTTATTTTATTTTTATCAAGAGTAAAATTTGTTTATGTTATCAAATTTACACTAGAGAATTTTTATGCTTTCATAATCCTCAACTAATCTTTTTATACGCATGACATAAAAACTCTCTTTCTCTTCAATAAAATAGTTCTAGCTTTTAATCATCTTTTCTTCTTCTAGATTGATATTAATTTGATATCTTCAAGGTTTTTGAGCTTATTTAAGATATTGATGAGATATATCATCATTGTCGACAGTTGTAACATACTAGTAGCCTCTATATGTCCATTGTCAATGTCATACAAATACTTGCAAAAAAATGCTCCATTGCCAATAACAATTGTATTTGTGTCGACATATGACTTTTTTTTTATCATCAGTCAATCACTAAATATATTTATTTTTGATATATATATATATTCAAGACAGAACAATAAAAACGAAAATAAATATTAAATTAAATAGTCAAATCAAGATTTGATTAATAACACAAATAGATACATAACTTTAAACCTATTCAAAAAAGAAAAACTTGATTTTCAATAATTGAATTATCTATTTATATGTATACATATATGTATATATATATGAGCCCTTTTTTTCTAGCATTTTCCATGTTTTGTTTTGAGCATACATTAATGAAAATGATCCCATATATCATTGTATTTCTTTGCTTAATGAAGATAGAAATTTACCGCAAGAATGATTAAAGATTTAATGCATTCTATGAATAGATTAATACTTAGATGGTTCTTTTTATTTTATTAGAAAGGAGAGGAAATTGTGCTCTATAGCACTTCTTTTTTTACTTCCATAAATCGACCAAGAATAAAGTCTATTCTTTTTCTGTTTGGATTTATTCATGCGACAAGAAATCAATTATCGAATGACGAAAATAAAATTATCGTGAAGTGGAAATATCTGAAAATAACAATTTTGTTTTAATCCTTTATTCATGTACTAATTAAAAGATTAATTTATGAAGGATTTTGACTATCAAAAAATATCATAGGCTTAAGATTTATCTTTTTGATAAATCTAAATAATTAATATATACTCGTAGACGAAGTTGCAATTTTCAATTAGTATAATTAATGTTCTTATTGATGGATAGACATATTCGATAAAAACAATTCTGGAACAAAAAGAAACGTTATTTTGTATTTACACATGTTTGTAAACAAAGAAAAAAACAAAATTGTTTTTTCTAATTGATTAACCCTTTGACAGCGAAGCCGATAACTTTATAGTTTCAAAATATGATGAGAGGACGAAGCCGAAATATTAAAAAAACACGTCTTTTCAATATTTGTTGTGTCCTGATATAGATGCCACTGATAACAACATTGCATCTTTAAATCAAGTCTAAGTACAAAAATTATGATCGCCAATAATTTTCAACGTATACTATGTTAACAAGAGATTTTTACTTTATATGTTATTAAAAAAAAAAGTCGACCGTCAAAGGATTAAACTGAGATAATTGCACAAGCAAAATGATTACATCAAACTACAACGAGATATTTTTGATTATCATATCCAATCTGTCATTAAAAAAAATATATCATTATATAACGATTATACTATAGAATCCATAGGAAACGACTAAGTCTTTCTATTTATCGTAAAACAAAAAAAAAACTTAATTTCAAATTATAATAATAAAATTAAATTGAAAATAATAGACTACAAATAAACTCTTTCAAGCGCTATCATATAAAGTCGTATTATATTTATATACTTCCATATGATGTTTTCTTTCTTTTAAAGAAAAGGATGTGCCACAATTGGTGTTTATTATAAGATAATAATATAATGTACATAGCGATCGGCAAATGGCATCAATCTATATTCTATATAAAATACATATTATCGATAATGACATCCACTGAATATGTATATACGTATGCATAGAACAAGATATATGAATTTCATTCAAATAGATATTTTTTTAATGTGAATTATCTAGAAAAACTACTTGGAATCATATAGTGATTATCATTCAAAACAGATTAAGATGTTTTTTTTAGATATAAATTATATAGTTAACTTCGATATCGATGAAAATATTGTCTAAACATATGATGATGTTTTTATCGACATAATAGAAGAATAAACAAAAGTGACATCCTCGATGACATTTCTTTGTATGACGTAGATATCAAGTTCTTTCTTTTTTTTATTTGAAATAAAAATTAAACATTAACATCATTAGTATTAGTATTAGTATTATTCTTATTAACATCATCATTATTATTATTATTATTATCATTATTATTATTATTATTATTATTATTAATATTATCGTTCTCTTCATTTTCTGAACAATTTTCAGTTTTATTTATTGTTCTACCATTAGCATTAGTTTCAATAATTTGTATTAATTTTCTATGTTGATGTCTATAATGTTGTCGTTCTTCTGATATTGTTGTTGCTAAAATAACTGTTATACGGTACCATTGAAGTATAATAATAAGACCATTTTTTGATGTAAAAAATACAGTTGAATATGAGAATATACGATAATGAAATAAAAGTATTGCACGAAATGTAAAAAATGGTATATCTTGAAGAAATAATGACATTAACATTCCCCAAAAATCTGATGGACTACAAAGAAATCGTCGTTCTTGTTCTTGTTCTTGTTTTAAAATTAGACGATTCTGTCGACCACGTGATACAGTAAATGCAAGACAAAATTGTAATAAACTTAATGTCCAAAAAAGTAAAACTAAAATACTTAATGTTATATTTGTTCGAACCTTCAATTAATAAAAAAAAAAAAAAACGTTAGTTTTAAATACGTTTATTTAGTTCAATTCATACTTTTTTCTCCTTAAATACTTCAAAAAATTCAACTATATCAGCAGCAATACCAATATAAACCTATGAAAAAATAAAAGAAAAAAAAAACAAGGAATTCATATTTGATCATAATTATTGTTCTTTTTCTTTTGTTTACTAATAATAATTGTGAAAGTTCTTCACGAGTTAATTCACCTTTTGGTAACAACCAACGACTTAGAATAAGTACAAGTAAAGTCGTTTGTTCAATAATCATATGCCAATCTGCTATTGATAAATGTGTATTTAACTAAAAAATAGTCAATAAGATTTTCTTAGATAGTAGAAATGGTTTTCCATTCGAAGAGTTTTAATCAAATTCATATTATCTCTTATCTGATTTCCATTTTGTTCTAACAAATAATTGAATTATTCTATGATTAATTCTTTTATAAGAACGGAAATGATGTTTATAGAAAATATTTTATGATCATATGAACTATGTTTCTTTCTTACTAAACTAATCTATATTTTCTTAATCATTCTTGAAGGAAATCAACGAGATAGTCACACAACCATAATTTTACTATTAATAATTCAGTCAGCAGTGTCACATTGAATAGCAAATAAACGGAAACCATTCTGGCAGGAAATAATGGCCTCTATCATCGCTGTATTATATGGAGCTAGCAAGCGATGCAAAAAATTTGCCAGTTTATATTTGTAAAGCAACTAAAACCTTTCAATTTGATTAAGCTAATCACTGTTTGAAAGGCTTTTTTTGTCGTGGAATAAAAGAATTTCTCAATAAATGACTAAGAAAGTTGAATTCCTCTTGAAAATAATCAAAAACAAAAACGATCTTCCTATCGTTGTCGTCACTAAAAATCATCATGAATTGATTTTTAAAATAGATTTTACTTTTGACATAAATTCTTGTGGTGTTTTGAGAAATTTTTCCAATGTTAAGTCCTCTGTCTTCGTTATTGGTAATACTGTTGAATTAATATGTTTTTTCTTAGCTGCTAGTGCACGTTGATTTATCATTAATTTTTCTTTTGAATCACTAATATCTCCATCAAAATCAACTCTATATCGATTAGCTAAAGATTTAAATTCAAATCGACGTTGATTTTTTAATGACATTTTTGTTTGATTTGATAGTAGTAATGATGAACGAAAACTATAATTTAATTCTAATAACCATATACAAGGTACAATGGCAATTAAATAAGCAAATGCTGATGAACAAAACCTTTTGTTTAAAAAAAAAAAATCAATAAAAATAAAAAGACAAACATGTTTTCTTTACCATTTATTTTCATATCCTTTTCGTCTATAAACCATTACATAAGTTTCAATAAGAAGAAAAATAAGTAATAAAAGTAAATACCAATAATAAACTTGTTTTGTTTCTTCGACAAGACGCCAAACAGTAACTATAGTTGAAAGAATAAATATAATACGAACAAATATTGCTTGAATAATTGTACATGATTCTTCAATTAATTGTATTAAATGTTGACAACGTTGAGAAGTTTTTATTTTATTTGCTAATGAATATCGATTTGAATCTGTCGATAAAGAAAGACTTGATCCATGATGATATTCATAAATATTTTTTTGCTAAAAAAAAAATAACTAAAATTTTTCTTTTTAATTAAAAATAATTCCTACTTACTAATATATCAATACTATGACGAACACGTCCCAATGGAACAAGCATTTTGATTTTTTTTTTTGGATAATCAACTATTCAAATATCTAATCGATCTACATTTTTTTTTTATGTTTTCTTCTCAGCATGAGAATATTTATTTTTGAAAACATTTATTCAGCATAAGAAAAAGACACAGTAGGATATAACCAGAAATTCATTAGAAGATTAAAAAAAATTATTAGTTGTTAGCTGTTTTTCTTTTGTTCTTATATAATAATAGATTTCATTTATTATTTATTAGATCAAATAAATTCAAGTGATAAAACAACAACAACAAAAAAATAAAGTCGAACAACAATATCTAAATTGCGAACAATAATGAAGCCAATTATCAGAAAACAGTTTATCAAATTATGCTATTTTCATTTGTATTAGATTTCTAAATTGTGATCATGTTGATTACAAGTTCTGTTCTATTGATAATATAAGAGCGAAACCATGTCGCACTATTGCCAATCAGAGAATGGCTAATCAGTTAAGTTTCAAACTATCGACAGTTTTTATTCCATTCAAATTACATGGATACAAAGTAAAAGTCATATTATATTTTAAACTATGAATACAAATTTTACTTTCTCCACACATGAAAAGGCCATTTTATACAATAATTATTTATATAGATTAAGACGTGACAATTAGAACGATTCACGAGGGACGGTTCCCAACTGATCAATGCCATTTTCAATGATATTTTATCTATATGTTGGGAACAGTATTTTAAGAAAAATCCTAAGAGGATTTGTGCCCATGGATCTTCCTTCGAAGGTTATGATTATTTTACTGATTTTTCCATCTAATACAAGGTATGTAGAGAAGAATTGAACAACGGAATTTCAATCTGAATTTTTGCTCATATGTAGTTCTTGTGATCATTATAATACTCTAAAAGTTTCAGTGGAAAAAACTGTTTTCCTTCTGGAGATATTGATTCTTAAAAACTTGTCTTATTATCTATAAAGTTCTGAAAGATTGACTTTTTTAAAAATTGAATATCTTCAAAAGAAATCATCTTTTTTTCTACTCAAACTTTTAGAGCGTTATAACGACCACAAGAACTACATATGAACAAAATTTCAGATTGAAATTCCGTTGTTCGATTTTTCTCTATATACCTTGTATTAGGTGGAAAAATCCGTAAAGTGATCATAACCTTCGAAGAAAGACCCATGAGCACAAACCTTCTTGGAATACTGTTCCCAACATATAGACAAAATATCATTGAAAACGGCGTGAATCAGTTGGAGACCTTCCGTCATCAGTCATTTATGTCTAAAGTTTCAAATCTTGTTTTCGTGCGATTACTTAAAAAATAATGTAGTTATCAAATCATAATCCTGATCACAAACAATCAGAAAATGTTCAAACTATATTATCCAGTCTGAAACAAGGACTGAACATAGGTCAGAGTGAAAGTTCAGAAACAACCCACATTCGAACACTTTTCTGTTCATTGATTTCATTTTTGTTCGCAATTTGAAAGCTACGAAAAGAATGTTCATTCAGCTCAGTTTGACATAAATTTTTTATTTACGATTATTTAGTTTCCATTTGACTGTGATAACCAACGCAACATAATATCTGCAAAATAGTTTGTTAGTAAACGTTGATTCCTGTCTTAAAACAAATCTAAAGTTTAAAATTGATGCTGAACAAGTTTATGTCCAAAATAATGATAATCTTATAAATTCGTCGTTGAAATATATGGCCTCTCTGTTTTTTTTCCAAGTATTATCATTTAAATTGCTTATACAATTTTTTTTTGTAATAAAAATCGAAAATCTAATTTTTCATTTTCTTGAGACTCCTAAAATTGAATCTTTATCTTTCAAAAACGTTTTTTTTTCGTTTAACATGACATTTGAAGTGAGTAGTTCGTCTTTCTGAAAATTTAAAAAACATCACTTGTCTTTATTTTTTTTGTAAAGCTGCTATTGTATTTAACCATTTGATAAGTTGATGCCCTTTTCAAATAATTCAGTATACATATCCTAAAGTATGATATGAAAAATGAAACAAGATCAAAATGATTTCATACGACATTGGTTTTGTTATATGAAAAATTTTGATTGGTGAATTGATGAATAATTTGTTTTATTGACTGAGAGTTAAACATCTTATTTGTTCAAGAACCATTAAAATGATAAAGAATTTTTAATCTAAACATTTGAAACTTAGCTCAAAACATAATTTATTTTTTCAAAAAAATTTATTATTCAATAATTTATTGATTACAAATGAACTAAAATATTATTTGATTACCTTTTATGGTTCTCATAATGATCTGTCGTGGTGAAACATACGCACAGAAAGGAGTAGATAAATCAATAAAATTCTATTTGAAGAAAAAAAGTAAATAAAAACAAAAATTAACTTATGATGATTTCTGCTTTTTTTTTCCTTTTTGAATATTTGTATTTAATGGTGCCAATTGACATAAACGTTTGACTTAATCCGCAAAATTTAAAAGAAAAAAGAAAACAAAGAAAAAACAGAATTCATGATATATGTGTTTACCATACATAACTCATTCGTCTGGATTTGATAATAATAATAATCTTTGTTCAGGCACATTGCCTATATATATATAGATATATACATACATACACATATTTTTTCAGACTGCTTTATTAAACACTACAACATATCTGATAAAGTTACGAAGAAAAAATTAAAACAAAAACAAGAAAGTTCATTCACCGAATGATAGAAATGTTTGCTTTGTTAAATTGACTTACACAAGGAAGACAATAATTGGTATATTTTGTTCATTGTCATCACTAAAGTTCATATGTTATAAAACCGAAGTGTCCAAAAGAAAAAAAAATGTATTTTTTTTTTGTTTTCTTTCAATACCTGGATGTTACTTTAACAGAATTGAGTTCACGAAGAAATTGTAATACATCATTATCATTTTTTATATCATAACATTTATCCATAAGACTTGTAGATTTTTTAATTATTGGTTGAATTTCATGATCATCAGATGATAATTTTCGTTTGTTGGTATCGATTGTTGAAAGTGGTGATAATGAACATTTATATGTTTGATTAGTAGAAGAAGAAGAAGAATATGAACAATCAGAATCTAATAAATCACATACAAGTGTATATGTTCGTTTAAGTAAAACTTGTTTATATAAAACTTGTGAACGTTCTCGACGAAGTTGTTTTTGTTTTGTTGTTGTTAATTCAAGAATATTTTGAGCTTCAGAATAATCAATACGTGAAACAAGTGGATTTGAAGAAAATGATAAGCATTCATTTTGTCGAGGCATTGTTGGTTTTTTTTTGTCTTTATTCTTGTAATTTTATCAAGCAATGTTAGACAGAAGAATTTAACATAGCAACTATTGCGCGTTGTGAAATAATTATTTATTGACTTGAATAAAATACATCGACATGGAGGATAATTGATCAATATGGCGATATTGAATTTTTTCTTATTAGAATAATGATAAATAAAGTTTTTAAAATTATTTTAAAATCTATTTTTATATAAATTTATTTGAAAATTTCCAGATTTTGCTTTTTTTTTAGCGACATCTATAGAATTGAATCTTTCTTACAACAGAATTGTTTTTTTTCAGTGAACATTCACTTTTCTTTTTTAGTGAATATTACTTGTGAGAGTTGAATAGAAATAGTTTCATTGAATATTTTAGAACCAATAGTTAAGAGCAACATCAGCCGGTGTTTTTACGAATAATTAAGCATTGGATATCAAAATGAAATATCGGTCGTTTGTATATATATTGCTATCATTCTTTCATAAAATTGTGGTCGACAATCATACAAAAGAATGAATAGTAGCATATGGATACAACTTGTTACACTAATTGTTTGTATAATAATAGTTGCATGTAAAGATTATTATGAGATATTAGGCGTAAAACGAGATGCTAGTGATAAAGAAATTAAACGACGTTTTCGTCAATTAGGTATGAAAATACCATTTTTTAGAAAATGTTTTTCTTTGGTAAAAATATTTTATTTAATTTTTAGCTTTAAAATATCATCCAGATAAAAATAAAGATCCAAAAGCTGAAGACAAATTTCGTTCCATAGCTGAAGCATATGATATATTAAATGATCCAACTAAACGTGAACAATATGATTGGCACGGTCATGAATCATTTACATCATCAAATTCAAATCATTATTCAAATTTTCATTTTAATATGAATGATTTTTTTCAACATTTTGATTCAGACTCATCTGATTTTTATCAAGCTGATCATAATCATTTTGGTTTCAATTTTGATTCATTGTTTGATAATGAAGATGATAGTTATGAAACAGATTATTATTCTAATGGAAATTATTTTGATTTTGGTGATTTTGGTAGTGATTTATTTGATAGAAGTGATAATATGTATGTTCACACATCGGATTCTTCTCAACGACATTGTCGAACGTATACAACAAGACAAGGAAATACAGTATCGACCGTAACAGAGTGTTCTTAAACTTATGTTCATGATTTTTATTGTATTTTATTTTATTTATCTATTTTGTCTTTAAAAAAAGGATTTATCTGTAGATAAACATAAATCTTTTTGCAAATAACAATCTATCTTATTATATGTCTTTTTCGAATCTTATTAATTTAAATCCTGATCTATATTCCAGTGTCATAAAATATGTCATGATTTTAAAAAAGTATGATTCGGTATGAATCGATCTTCAGGCATCACTCTCGATTAGTCTAATCAAATAAAAAAGTCACGACGAATAATATCCTTTTAAAGTAAACTAACCTTTATCACGATGTCATTATTAATATAGCATAAGAAAAAACACACATGACTATGAGCGTGGGTGGAGAAAAATAATATAAAAATTTGCTTTAAAAACAATATTAATCTGTTTGTAACATGTGAAAAGGATTAATATAAGATAATTTTATCATGAAAATGTACTTACGATACAAATAGATAGTTTCAGGTACGTTTTTTTTTAATTATATTTTAATAAAAATTCATTTTTGTAATTTTTCGATTAAATAG